CTCGACCACCATTAGGGTTACCGCCAAAAAAAAAAACGAGGTAAAAAAAGAAAACGGTAACCTGGTTGCCGAGCTCACGAAGTGAATTGGCTTGTTTTACAAGGTGGTGGCCAAGCGAGGAAAACCCAAACCCGGAGGGCAAACCCCGGGGGGGGGGGGGGGGTTGAGGACAGGCCCCATGTGACGCCTACAGCACACACATGTTTAGCTGGCACTTTTCCTCGCCAATAAAGGACGCTCCTCTGCTCTGCCGCCAGCTTCCAACAGCCTTGGCGCCATTGCCCACAGCTGGGTTCAAACGGCTCACCAAAGAGAGGAGATACACTCTCGGTTCTCCTTTGCCTCAAAGCGGCCATTTCTACGCCTAAAAACGGCGGCTTCAACTACTTCGCATCGTGCCCTTCACCAGCACCACAGGGAAAGTTAGTTCATTCGTGTCTGTAGGTGATGCCACGAAACGCCTCGGAAGGTGGGGGTGCGGGGGGAGGGGGGCACTCACGCTCGACGATCGGTCTTCCGTTAGCGTCAACCCCCTCATCCAGGCCGACGCGAACGTAGTGTGCGCAGGAGGCGTCGCTCTGCCCCGGTGGAGGCTTATCGGAAAGAACCTGCGTATGAAGTGTGGGGTAGAGAGGAGGATGGGATGACTGCTATTGGCTTCGCCCCTCTGAGTCTAGCACAGCTAAATAGCTGTCTCCCGGTTGTTCGATAAGCAATGGCCAAGTCTGATGCTAAATTACTGGGATTTAGAGAGGGCTCGCGGAGAGGTGAACACCATTATGTCTAGAGGCCCTCTATCTTTGGTACAGAGATTTGGTGTAGCATATGTACATATGTACGATACAGCATTATGCTGTTAATAGCCTGCTGTATGTAGAGCTACCAGAACACCTTGGATAGACTGCGTAAACGTCTCCCTGCATCGTTGGTGGTATGCAACCATCACGACACAGCAGTTGTAGCAATAGCAATTGGCGAGTTCCATGTAATGCAGAGCGGGAAGCACTGTCAGCGGACCGCCTGCGACAATAGAGACGCAGTGGCGAGGCGCTGAATGGCTCTTGTGTGCCTTGCGCGCGTGTTTCTGCACTTAGAGGCACGGACCGACCTTCGTCCGTCCGCGGATAGAAACGTTCCACGCGCGGGCGGATTTTGTACTGACTCTAGTGTCGGTGCGGCTTTGGACATGATGGCGTGCGAGACCAGTTTGACATTTGACATTGGCAGTGGAGGCCAAGTTTCTGCGAGTCAAGAGCCAAGCAAAGACGCCTGTTGAAAGGCGCCTGCTACACCACTGCAACTGCTGGCCGTCCCAAGCGTATGGCTGGCTTAGCGACAACCCCCTGCTCCGCGAGTTCGCCGCCGCTGCAACTCGCCGGCGCCCACAGACTCCTGAAGGTGAAGATTTTGCTCTCTCACCTTGTCCAGCAAAAGGTGTCGCCCAAGAGTACAACTGGGGGACAATGCCAGCATCCCGAGGGCGCTCACACCGAATCCCCAAGACTGGACCATCGTTCTCTCGTAGATATTCGCGCGGCACGAATTCGTGCGTGGTGCTCTCGCGACTGCTGGTGTGATGGTGTGTGACGATTCTGTGGATTTGTGGATTTGTTCTCGACTCTTTTCACTTTTCACCTAAGGGGTATCGCAAAATCGAAACAAAGATATGCATACGGGGGGCCACGTCGGGTGAACGTGCAGCTGGCTGGGGCAGAGCCAGCACAAAAGACAATCGACGATACGTTATCTGCAGCCATGGCGCACTTCGAAGAAGGCGGGATCGTGTGGTCTAGGAGTACTAAGAAGGAAAAGTGGTGGCCGAGCATCGCGTTTGCGAGCTGGGACGCTGCAAAAGAAGCAGGTGTGCCTATGATCGTTCGTCCCACGTTCTCACCCGAGCGCGATTTGAAATTATTGAAACCCCACTTTGGCAAGATGCGACCCACGCGCTTTCCTCTTTGCCGCCCACGAGACCTATGCTACTTATGCCACAACACACGCGACTGCTGTATTGTGCCCGTGCCAGGCTTCGTCCCTGATGGGATTGCGTGGCTGATTGAGTGCGGACGCAAGGTTGATGTCACCGACGACGAGGCGCAACCGAGACAGGGCGAAGTGTTGAACCTGTGAGTGTCTAAAAGAACAAGAGGCAAATAAGATGGCTTGGCATGGCCATGCATGAGAAAGAAGATCATGAGGGGTACGGCAATTGCTCTGCTTTATCTTTTGGGGGGGGGGCGCTTGCGCAATGTCTTTCAGGGGTCAGGATGGCACAGTCGTGGATGAAGCTCCGAAGCCGTTTCGCTTGCACTAGCACACGCGGGACGCATCATGTGGGTGGAGGGCGGCGAAACCATATAGGCGCGCAAAATATACCTGGGTTTGGACCACAACGAGATTTGCATGTTTGAGATAGATATCTTGGGGCCTGTGCGCGCATCTCTCCGATCGATTGCCACATCTTTCGCTGTACCGCGGTGTAGCTCATCCTCTTGATTGACGATGGTGCCGTCGCTTTGTTTTACTCTTTCAGGTTTTAGTTCCAAGGGGGCGCGGAGTAGGAGTTGGGCAGAACTCCTCTGCCAAAAAAAAAGAAAGGATAGGGCCGCACCCAGCGGTTTCAATAAATCACTCTCTTAGGGCCTGTTTTAACGTTTATTTTTGTCACCTAAATTGAGGCCCTGCAAAAAATGTCTGGGAAATCGTAGACATACAGGTAGCTTTTTCTGACGCTATGAATTCATTGCTAATCTGTCTCTGACTCTTTTATGATAGAGATGGATTCGTTGTGTCATAATAAGAAAAATAATAATAATAATAATAATAATAATAAGTTTCGGGGGGGTGTCGGGGGCGAAAGACGCTGATTGGTCAACAGGAAAAAACACGATGAGGCTTTCTCTGCCCGGAAAAGCGGGACTTCGATATTGGGTGCAGCAAAAAGCAATTGGAAAATGCATTGTTTTTTCCTGAATCGAAGCACCCGAGTTGCACTGCGCCCCATTTGCACCCCCCGTGATGAGCTGAACTCGTGCTGGCGTTACCCCTGACGGGACTGCATGTGGCACACTGGCCGTGCGGCACTCACACGCATCGCCCACTGCCCGCTGCTGGGAAATAGCTGTATTGCAATGATTCTGTGAGCGTGCCAACTTGTCGCGCTGGTTGGGTTGCCGTGGAGGTTGGTTTCCGTTTCCAAAATGTGCGATGTCAACAGTCAACGGCTGGTTGTGTGCAGCGAGACGGTCCAAACAACAGTTGTAGAGCAAGCCTGAGGATGAGGGTTGGGCCGCTGGCACCGCCTGCTGATGCTTAGCTTCGTGTGTATGCTGATATATATTTTTACGGCTCCCGTGTGGTGCACATGGTCTATCGCTGTACCTGGTTGGGTCACCACGTCACCTTGCGGCAGCGATTCCGCCGCATTTGGGTGTTGCTGAACTTCGGTGTTACAGGTAGCCTTCCCTCTGACGCTATGTATTCATTGCTAATCCATTTTAGACTCTTTTCTCAGATAGAGATGGATTCGTTGTGTCATATTGAGAACATAAAAAAAACATGCGTTTAAACGACGCAAGCCCGTTTTGGCCGAAAACCCAAATTGGTTCATCCACTTTCGATATCCAATTTAGGTGACAAAAATAAACGTTAAGACAGGGCCTCACGCATGCATGTCGAGAAACGCCGAAAAACAGACAATATATCGCTGCATGCTGCTTGGGGAGTGCCCCTCCAACGCTATGGATAGAGATGGATTCGTTGGGGTTACTTAAGAAAATAAAATACACAAAAAGTGACAAGTATGAAATAGACGATCTTCCATCATTCATTGTGAACTTGTCTCCATAATTCATAAAATCTTACGTTCTGAGACTTGAACAGCAATGGCCTGCATCAGTGACGCCGTACTGTAGTCCCATAAAGGCATCTCGACAGAACCTCACCCCAACATGAACTTGCACACATGTGTGATATTTTCAACACCACCACAAACATCCGAACACCCAGCCGTTTTTCCACCATCTTGTTGGTTCTACTACCCCATCCCAGCACTAAATAGGTTGTTGTCCAATACTCACCTGGTACACAAGTTGGCCACAAACTGGCTTGCTTCTTGTTACCTTGTTAGCCCGTCGCCCACAGGGGAGATATCACTGCTGTGCAAGTATGTTGCTCGGATAATGGAGTACACAGGTACATCATGTGAAACACAATCATTGAATTGCTGGTTTATCCCTGACTCTTTACCGGTGTATCTGAATATGCTCGTTTCGTTTTTTGGGGAGGGAACTCAAAATGAAAACGATGACCAGTTCGGTTGATGTTCAAAACAACGCCCACTGCCCCTCCGTTAAGTTGTTATCTTTCAAATCACCCCGAAACATGATTTGACAGCAGATGCGCATGACCAATAAACAAGTTGCGCTACCCTGCGATCGTAGGAGCAGCCTGGTCTGATGCAGTCTCTCCTCTCTCTCCCTTCCTTCTCGCCTTTTCTCGAAAGGTACCTCGGCGAGACGCCCGAGTGGGAGTTTATCGCCCGCGACGATGAACACCTCTTGCCGTTCAAGGTGCACCGCGACAGGCTGAGCAAACAGAGGGTGAGAGCGAAGCACGTGCTGTCGCGGTATGTGTCCGTGTGAAAAAAGAAAAAGATACCTTTCGAGTCCATCTAGTTATTGAGAGGGGGACGAAAAATTCGGCCTTGCTCGAACGTTTCTTTTTTATTTTCTTGGTAAATTATGACACAACGTTCTAGAACGCGGCGCAATGGGTGTATCGGGATTAACGGATGATGCAAAACAAAACTTTCGCTGACGCTATGGATCCATTGCTAATCTATCTTAGACTATTTTCTATAGATAAGAGATGGATTCGTTGGGTCATACTGATGAAATAAACAAAAGGACGGGGGATTTTCGTTGCGCATGCACGGACATCCGTTGAAGTGTTTCCGATCTCGTCGGTGGTCCCGCTCCCTCTCCTCGAGGCCAGAGGGGGAGAGCTCTAACCCCTGGGGTACGCAGCGTGCCGGATTACCACTTAGGGAGATATTTAGCACACCGGACAGTAAATAGTTATTTATTTTTGTGCATGTAGTGTCGAGAGAAAAAACATTTTCGTCTGCAGATGAGAGAGTCCAGGGTAGATTAGCGATTGATTCGTAGAGGAATACATATATGCATACCAGTTTTGTTTTTCCCGCGCGGAAGCCTCGCCTCTAATCTCTCCAAGGGAATGTGCGTCCAAAGCAGACGAGAGAACACACCACACCCGCAGCCTAACGATTGCCCCCTCTTCGCCGCCGCCGCCATCGCCGTCTCTTCCTTGCTGGTGAAATAATAAAATTAGTTGGGGGCCCAGCTCAAGCACCAGTTCGCGCCCGCTCTCGCCGCGGCCGACTCGATGACGAGGCAGCAGCAGCAGCAGCAGCAGCAGCAGCAGTCGTGTGCCACCCCGGGTACCCCGGTGAGCAAGGCCAGCATGGCGCACATGAATCCCAAGCGGACGGGTGTGCTGCTGGACTTCGGCACCGGCACCTCCTTCGCGAGCTTTGCGGAGCTGTGGAACTACCTCCGGCACAACGGCTGGGCCACCCTCCCCGGCAAGGTATGCACCCTCCCCGGCAAGGTATGCACCCTCCCCGGCAAGGCATGCATGCATACATACATGCATACATGCATGCATACATGCATACATGCATACATGCATACATACATGCATACATACATACATGCATACATACATACAAACGTGCGTGTGTTCAGTTAGGCCGACACTTCAGAAGCTCTATTATATTACAGTTTTGACCGAGGCTGGAGCTCTTTGTTCCTAGGGCCAAGCTACGAATGGCCGCTATTCGTATTATAAGTTTTAAGTGTAGTGGTTCTTAACCGAGCTCACAAATGGTGGTAAAGTTATAGCAGTGTTTTTTAGGCTCAATTTCTTAGTGGTGGCGCGTTCTGTATGTGTGAGGGAAGTTTGCAGGTTGTTGTACTCCAGATGCATATAGCGTGAATTCAGGGTTTGTTCCCTCGGACGGTGGAGCTTAAGTTTTCAGGGCTTCCTCCTTCCGTTTTTTCGATGCTTCCAAGCTTTTCTTTCTTGCACGTATGAAGGGCTGCGTGGTGGTTTTGTTGCGTACGTCGATGTTGTTTTGTAAAAGTACGTTTTTTTGTGCGGTCCTATCCGATAACTTGTCCTGGTCTTCTTCCCCCGAGACACCTGGTTGCTCTATATCTTGTGGCCAGATATTTCCAATCATAACGAAAGGTAGCGCCAGCGTTTGATTCGAACCATGTAGAAGTCTCCCGGAGAAAATAGCGCCTCACATGTACCTCTTCCTCGCCTTTGACTTTTTCCCTCTGCACCTGTCGTTTGGCCCTATCATGCCTGCGTGGTTGTGTCTTTCTCTCTTCGTCTCTCTCTCCCTCTCTGTCTATCTGCCTGTCTGTCTGTCTGTCTGTCTGTCTGTCTGTCTGTCTCTCCCTCTCCCCCTCTCGCTCTCTCTGAAACGGTAGGGCCTAGCCTCGTGGCACTACTTCCCCCCCGGCTCCGACCCCAAGATGCGCCACCCCGTCCTTCGGCGTGACTTCTTCGACTCGGAGGACGCCGTGATCGACCACGTCCGCCGGACCGGCCTGGAGAGGCCTGCCCCCGTCGGGACGGTGGTGCGTTGCAGATATGTACCTTTTTTTGTACCTTATTTTTGGTTGTACTGCTGACTGCTGTTTGGTCGTTTGGTGTTCGGCGTGTCCATGAATTTTTGCTCTCTGGTATGGGTTTCTCTTTCCTTGGATGGGATTGGACATTTAGTTTTGTCAATCGCGTTCCACGGAACGGTGGTGCGTTGCAGATACCGCCGCGTGTGCCATTGTACCTTGTTTTGGTTGTACCTGCTGTCTGGTCGTTTCGTGTATCACTCGCTGGTGCATTGCAGAGGGCGTGTGCATTTTCGATGATAGTGTTTAGTTTGCCTTGTTTTTATTGTACTGCAGGTCTGGTCGTTTCGTGTATCGCTTCGCGTCGTGAATGTTCGCTGTGGTCTGGTTTGCTCTTCCCTGGGGTGGGACATTTTTTTTTTCAGTCGCATTTCACCGGCCGATGCCATTTTTCACCGATCGCTGGCTGTCGTAGCGTGCGCACTTTTTCCCTTTTTAGCCGTATGTATCAGTTATGCAACGTTTAGGACAAGTGGTGGACGATGCTCCGTGTGCTGTTCTGCCCCGCCGTGCTGGCCATAGTTCCCATGCACCGCAGCATAAACTGCCTTGTGACGTCCACCCTTGTGGCGTCTAAATCACCCCATCCACTCAACCACGCGCTCCGCTTGCTCCCACGCCCCCCCCCCCCCCCCTCCCCCGACGTTTTCCCCCTCAATTGGCCTCAAGATCGGGAGATCCAGCCCTGGTTCGACCTCACGCCCCGGCAGCACCAGAGTATCCGATGCCCGGCGGTCGCCACCGCCAACGGCGCCGACGCAGGCTGACCCTGGAAAGCCTGCCAGCGGCAAGAGAAAGCCCTCTTCGCGCAGCGGCGCAGCGGTGGCACCAACCCCCCCGCCTCCCTCGCGCTCTCCTGCGCCTCAAGAAACCACCGCCGCTGCCGCCGCCGCCGCCGCCATTGCTGCCTCCGCTCCGTCCCCTGCTGCACCGCCCTCCAAGAGTGTGACTGATGGCGGCGGCGGCGGCGGCGCGATCACCGGAAGCACTACCACCAACGGCACCGTGGCGGCAGCGGCGGCGAGGAATGCAGGGGGCGCCGCTGATGGGAGGCACGGGGGGGGAGGTGACGGTGCGGCAGAACCCGATGATGTTGGCGGTGTCGAGGAGTGGAGCGGGAGCGGAAACATTAGCTCTGATGATGACTCCCTGGTGGTAATGGATAAGAAAGAAGAGGACGGGGAGAAGGGGGAGGGTGCCGTCCCGTCCGGCGGCGGCGAGGCCCGACGGGGACGACCGCAGCAGGGCGGCAGGGATACGGAGCCGAGCGCTGTCGGGGGCAAGCGTAGCCACGGGAAGACGATGCAGGTCGAGGCCGCGCTGGTCTCGCCTCCGCGCGGGTCGGCGCCGAACCTGACGTGAGTGACAGGGAGAGAGAGAGAGAGAGACAGATGAGAGAGAGGAAGACAGAGAGATGCAGTACGTAGGGATACACAGGAAATTGGGCCCGAACCAGAAACGGTAGACAGCAGTAGTCGCCCGAACCAGAAACGGTAGACAGCAGTAGTCGCAAGGCCATGTGCGATCACGTCGCCGTGCTTTTCCAGCGACCGACCGTTCTACCACGCCCCGAAAAAAGCTGCCCACAGCAGTGCCGAGAGAAACACCACCGGTCTAATGATCCTTGTTCTCGCGACCCTGCCGCCGCCCGTCCGTCCGTCCCCCAGGCGGCAGGTGATGCGGCAGGCCGTCACGGCGCGCAGGCTCGCCAAGAGCCCGCCGGCCCCCTCGCCCTCCAAGAGGCCCAAGCGGGCGGCGCCGCAGGTCGCCCCGAAGGAGCTGGTGCGGCTGGCGAACAAGCAGCTCAAGACCGTCCGCGGCATTCTGGACGGCACGGAGCGCCCGTTCCCGGGGCCCTGCGGAGTGGAGAGGCCGGTCGCCGATGTGGTGAAGTTCGTCAAGAAGGCGCACAACGCGTGGTTGGCGCAGGTGTGCTACATGGACGGGAACGAGGGTGGCGCCGCTGATGATGTGATGGGGGCGGCGGAGATGCAGAGGTTATTTTCTTACGGAGGGGGGGGCTGTTGTGTGAAGAGAGTGGTGTTGAGCAACAGCACAGCAGTCTGGTCTTCATGAACCCTCGCCTGATACCGTCCACCTTAACTTCATGCTATCCTGATCGTCGTGTGAATGTTTTGGTGTCCCGTCTAATCCATCCCAGCCCATGTTTTCCGCTGTACCGTGCCGTATTTGACGTCCCAATAAAAACGACTGCTGTGCCACAATGACAGCTCCAGCAGCGCAACAACGTTGCCGCGTTGCAAGGGATGATTGGAGCCGGAGCTATAGTCTTGGCGGGACCCAGGGGGTCTGGAAAGTCGACAGCCTTCCAAGCCGCAGCGGTGAGATTAAGAGGTTGAGATCGGGTGTTGCCTAAACTGGCTCATGAGGTTTCGGGGGGGGGTGGGGGGGGGGAGGCGCTCCTCTGCGCTCTGCCGTTTTTTTTTCATGAAACCGTACGTGATTCAATAAGATAGGCCGGGGAGATGCGGATGGACGCAGGCTGGTGTTGTCCAGTGCCACCATCCCGTGCAGTCGTTGTTCTTTTTCCACCCTTCTTTAAGGCCCGACACGGCACAACGCGGGAGGGTTGAGATCCACCACCCCCGTCTCTGACGAAGTTGTCTTTAGTTAGAGGATAAGAGTAGAACAATATTTCTTAGCCCGGGGGACGGCGTTAGCAAACACCCTGTTTTTTTCTCGGACACATTTGTCTTTCATGGTTGGGGCGGTTTCGGTTCAGCTATAGCCCCGTTTCGGATGAAGTTGTCTGAAACGCGAAGACGATTTCTTTTGGGAGTTGCTCTGTCGTTGCTTTCGTTTGCAGCTTGCCCTGAGGCCAGACCGGGTCCAACTCGTTGTCTGGTGGAGTTGTACTTAAAACTTGATGTAGACAGCACGGCGAAAAGTAGTAAACTTGTTGCCCCCCCCCCCCCCCCCCCCCACACCAAAAAAGCGGCGGGAACCAAAATGTTCTAAACCCCCTGGGGGGCAC